CGTACATGTGACAGCTGTGATATGAATGACACTTTTATGACACCGTTTACATTTACGTTTCATTGCATCATAATGAGGATACTATGTACACGAAGGGTGTGAAATAAAAAACCATACCTATTCACATTCCGACTAATTACGTTTCATATCTACAGTAGACTCTCTCTTATCCGGTCTTCACTTTAACCAACCACATTTTCGTTACGACTTAATTTTCAAATGAAATAAAAGAACAAAGCTGAAAGTGTAAAGAATTTAACTGAAGAGTTCTGTTCTTGCAATCGAATATTATGATTCAATCTTTTTTATCACTTTTCAAGGTTAGGTTAGGCTCAGTTTCTACGAGCGAATACGGTGCACTGTAATGATCCTATAATTTCTTAATTTTTTAACTGTGTTTTATATGTAAATGATATAAATAATATTAGGCACATATTTTCGGATTAACCGACTATTCGTCGGTCCCGTAGGGACCTACTAACCCTCGCACGGCGGTGTCTGGGTCCGTTCGGACCCGAGTACGTTGCAACCGATCCCCACTGATAGAAGTCACTTGTTTACGTCGAGGAAATTCATAAAATAAATTGCGGTAACGATAAGAACCTCGTGCAAACGCAAATCGTAATAGTTATTACGGGTCCGAACGGACCCAAGCACCGTCTTTCGAGGGTTAAGATGGAATCTACTGCATCCCACTACCATTAGTTTAAATCATCTCACCTGGTACAAAGAGTTTCCCGTGATGTAAGCGGCAATGTAGTGCGAGCCGAAGTGCTTGATAAATCGCACTACACTGGCGGTATCTCCAACGGTAACGTTCTCCGTTTCCCGGAGTACAGCTTCGTCGAGGATCATCGTTTCCGCGGTACCAGACAGCTTCTGGCTCTCCCGGAACCTGGCCACGCGTACCAGCACGTAACAATGCTCTCCCGTGATGAAAGAAGCGCTGATACCTAAATGACGTGCTATGGCTGCTTTGGACCAGCTACCAGTGAACGCACGCCACGGCCTCTCTAACCTCTCGAACGTAAAGTCCCGGAAGTAGGCCTGCAGAAGCTGGCGGATATTGTCGCAGAATTCCATGTGAAAGTCACCGTTGAACACAGTGGCTGCCTGTTGATGAGATCTACTCGCGACAGCGACGGGATTTCTGAAAACGTCTAACGTCGGCTCCCTGAAGATCCATGTGTCCGTGTCATTTCTAGGGATCACTCTCATGCTGATGCTCAGATAGCCGTAACGGCTGAAGATGTTCACGGCGCCGCCGAGACGCGGCCTCTGCGACCCGTTGCCGAGTTGCACGCTCGCCAACAACGCGACCGTCCACGCCAGGAGCAAGAATCGCGTGCGCGACCACATTTCTCGCGGCTGCCTGCGGCGAAACCACCTGGAACACGAGATGAGATTGCTGTGAGATTGCTACAGCTGGCTACAGGGTTGCTGTAGTTATTGTGTATATACGGTAACCTTCGCGGAACACGATTGTTCCGTGCGACGAGGTATTGAAACGGCGTTCAAGGGAATTATGGTGGGATGGAGGAAGTGGGATGCTGGGAATGGTTTATGATATGAACGAGGGAGTATGTGGTAGCGGTAAATTTCGGTTTTTAAGATGTTTTGGGGCATCGTGGAATTTAACTCTTTGCACTCGAGAGGCGACTAAGTATTTACCATTAGAGGCAACTCTAACGATGATATTTTCTAAGACAACAGGTCTATGGACCTCCGTGAATTGTTCACTATATGTTTAGAGATCTCAGCAGTGAAATAGTTCGAAAGAACCAGCTTCTGATAAAAATATTAGTTTTAAAAAATTACATTAATTTTTGCTACTTCCTTATAGAAAAAAGGATATAGAGTGCTGGGAGTACTTTATACGAGGGAAAATTGTGACAGTGGTAAATTTCAATTTTTGAGAAGTTTTGAGACATTTTAAGGAATCTTTTAATGAAGAAAGCAAAATGCTGGGAATACTTTATGTAATAGCGGTAAATTTTCATTTTTAGGTGATTTTAGGACGTAGTATAATTTTTTAAAAATATCCAGAATTGAAGTAAGCTGTAGGGTTGCTATAGTTGTGTATAGCAACCTTCGTGGAACGCGTCTGTTCCATAGGATGAGACGTTAGAACGGTGTTGAAGGTGTAAGAAACGGAATAGCGGTAAATTTCTGTTTTCCAGACATTTTGAAACGTCCTATAGTTAAAAAAGCAAAGATCCAAGAATTGAAGTAGCTTTTTCATATTTGAATACTGAAATGGAAAAACCATTTCACCAATCCAATGGTGACAATTGAATTCAGAAAAAAAATCACTTTCTAGTATCGCAATTGTCGGAAGCGCTAAAAATATCCACATCCATTGAAGTGAAACGTAAGAGGATTGTAATTAAGCGTTTAGCGGGTACCTGACCCGGCCGCTTTTCGCTTGCAACTTCTTCGCGGATTCTTGACGTTCCCCCGGAGTGGTTTGCTAATTGCTGTTTCTTAGATTGCTGACTTTCGCTCAAATTCTAACATTGTAGAGTTGTGGGATCGTAAAACTTGTTTTACTGGAGTATGAAAGTTGCCTTTTCGAGCACTCTGTCGTTAGTGACTCCTTTCGATATTCTTTCTTATAAACCCACTGTACCAAAATTCTTTTACACCATCAATTATTGTTTCTTGAAAATTAACTTCATAAAAATATTTAAAAAAAATGGACCAACTACACTTGCATCAGTAAAACGTCACATTAAAATCAAAAACAAAAATGAAACCTACTGTACTAATCTTTAAGATCTACAAGATGAGAGAATCTCCTCTAAGAATGAATTACCTCTTCACCGTATCACTGACAAGAATTACAATATCAAACCAAAAAAAAGAAAATGAAACTCACTATACTAACCATTATGATCTACAAGATGAACTAAGTTCATCCAACAATAAATCACATCTTCACCGTATCACTGACAAGAATTACAATATCAAACCAAAAAAAAATTTAACCCAAAATGAAACCTACTCTACTAATCTTTAAGACCTACAAGATGAAAGAATCTCCTCTAAGAATGAATTACCTCTTCACCGTATCACTGACAAGAATTACAATATCAAACCAAAAAAAAGAAATGAAACCTACTATACCAACCTTCAAGATCTACAAGATGAAAGAGCCTCCACCAGGTATAAATCACATCTTCACCACATCATTGACAAGAGTTACACCTTTACAGTAACCATCGATCAAAACAATCAATTCCACAGTCCTGAACATTCCCAAAGAATAAACGACGAACAGCACTAGATCCAAGATCTCCGATAAAACCAACCAACCAACCAACCAGCCAACCATACGGCAACCGGATTCGACAAGATGCATCCCGTGGCGTCTATCGGCGCCTCGGATCGTCGAGTGCACGCGTGCACGCGCGACGCAACGAGTCGCCGGTAAACCGCCGCGAGTTATCTCCCGCTTTGTAGGTCTAGGTAGGTGCGCGTCGTCGAGGCGTTTGCAGAAGCGGTACGTGGCCTTCATCCCCACCTGACCACACTCTATAGACACCTTGCTCTATCCACGGTTCTACGTCGCGTAACCCTTTCCTCGATTATCGCAGATTCGCGTGTCTCTTTCCTCTGTTCTCGAGGCTGTCGAAGGGTTTCGTTGGAAGTAAAAGGTGTTGTGATCCGAGGCTGCGAGATGTTCGGACCTCTTTGATCGTTCGTTCGTTCGTCACGGCTCGCCGCGTACACGCGAGCCCCGTACATCTTGATAAATGTCCACGCGACACGATTGATTGTTATGCACGACCACTGCAATTTATGCGCCACTCCGCGTTAACGGTACGCTGGTCGCTCTGTTCGACAATGAAAAGCCACGATCTGGGCTCACTTCCGTGTTGATAGCCGGACAAGTTGGGCAGCCTGTTGAACAGGCTTTTTTTTTTGGAAAATTTATTGTTTTATTTTTCGAGTATATATGTGTGTAAATTGTTAGATTTATAAGTCGGATGTAACAAACATTAAACTTAAAGCCTTACTAGGAAGTATATATTTCTTTTGTATACGTTCGGAGAAATCCGTTTAGCTTTATCACCTCTGTTTAGTAAAGATCTAAATGTTCATGATACGTGACAAAAGGCCCTTCGGTCCCAAGCGGGGTCGGAGGCAATATTAGGGCGTTGCGTAGGAGCGTTCTTAGTCTGTATACAGTGCTCTTGCCATCAAGTAGAAAAGCGAGCCTTCCTTGTGTCAAATAAAGTTTATAGTTTAAAATAAGGATTATTAATTATTTAACAATCCATAGCTCCCATAATCCAATATAAATCACTTCATGAAGCGACTGTACAGTTAGCGTTGATAAGTTTAATCAAGCGAGGCAAAAGTGCGGTGTAATTCAATTCGTTTCATTCAAGTCGATCAAGTTCTAACTCCGTTTGTCGAATTTGAAGATTTGCATCGAACTCAACGAAGTGTGATTTATCATTCTCGCCTAATTTATTTAGCTACTTTCAGTTTTGCTACGTTTCGACGGTTGCGAGTAAGTTTTTGAGCATTCAAGTGTGTAATTATTTTTTTTTAATTTTATTGAAGAATGTGATCGATTGAAAAAATCGAACTATGCTTCTTTATATTAAAGACCAAGGAAAGAGTTAAATTAATGACTCGATTTTTAGAAATTCTTGCAATAAATCGAAAATAACTATACTTACTATAGTGACTAGATAAATTTTATCGGTAAATTATAGATTTTCAAACATGCACGTCATGTAGAAAGATCGAAGCTGTACTTTTTTTTATAAAATGGTTTATAACACGACGTTAATGTCAGCCGAGACGTCTTAAGAACACCTTGTAGAGTACTCTTTCTTCGTTAGATTTATACGACGAAAATGTTTGTTCAATTTATCCATGTCGATTCTCTAACATTAAAATAGATAGATAGAAGACACGACAAGGTAATAAAAGACATTATTCAAACTATAATATAATGATACTCGTTTGAATATCTAATAGGATGTCTGAAGGTGATCGTTCGATCCTTGGTGTCTTCTTTTTCATTCAAACACGTTTATGAAAAAGTGTTTCAAGAGCAAGGTTTCATCGGTAATATCGTTAAAGAGATTCGCTCTCGTGCAGATGGAGAAGGTTACACCGAGCCCTTGGATATCATCCAACCTGGCTATCGTCCTAGCGACATCACTGTTTTGCCTCGATGCGTATCTAGAGGAATATACTGGTTGCTAATTACTTGTTGAACGCTCCTCTGTCCCGTGAAATGTCGACAATTATGCGGTCGCCTGTTTCGCTGGCTTGGCTTTGTTAATCACCATTGCATTTCACGCTCGTGATTCCAGTATGTTTAGGAAAAGGCGCTTGCTATATTGCAAGGTACCTCAAAGCAAACAATGTTGCAAACACGTTAATAAACAATTGTTGATAATGAAACGTTTGTGTAGAACAGAATCGGCTAATTTTGCAATCAACAGAGATTAGAAAAGGCTTTTGCTATTCTGAGGAAACGTGGCATTAGGAAAATATTGACTGAAATTAAATTTGCAGTATTAAAAATATTTCACGAGAGTAATTTTCACGAGTAGTTTTATACTCTTAATCGTTACGCGCTAAAGTTTCTGAATAGTGGCTCTACTCCTTTTTACAAGGGCTGTTTGGGAGTATTAGGATATACGATAATTCTTTCGATAAAGATTCCAGTTCCTATACATTCAAGTCCCCATATTTTGGCGTTTTTAAATTAAACAAATTTTTAAATTGTACCTTTTAACCCTTTGCACTCCTCGCGATTTTTAATACGACCTACCAGAAACTCTGAATCATTTTTACTATGGGCTACCAGCTACTTGGAGACTGTTTACAATGGTGGGAATGCGCCTCTGTGGAAGATACTTTGTAGGCGTTCAATTTTTCTTAAAAATATATCTTACAATGTCGCCGCAGCAACGACAATGGAGCTGTTAGTTCCACTTACAATGTCGCCACGGCGGCGACAACGGAGTGCAAAGGGTTTAAATTTCTTTCTTTAAATTAAGGTGTGCACAGGATAAAAACGAAGGCTTAAATTAAGGTGAAAGTGTGCCAAGAGGCGCCCAGGGCGCAGCGCGAGAAAATATTCGAAACGCCTATAGGCGCCAAGGGCGCAGCGCGAGAAAACATTCGAAACGCCTATAGACATCAAGGGCGCAGCGCGAGAAAACATTCGAAATGCCTATAGGCGCCAAGGGCGCAGCGCGGGAAAATATTCGAAACGCCTATAGCCGCCAAGGGCACAGTTTCTGCAAATTTTCGAAGCGCCTACAGGCGTCAAAGGGTGAAAATCTATTCAAACACTGTCACATATTTTCGTAAACTCTAATTAAACG